TTGCACAAGCACAATACCTTTGCAACATTTTTATTAACTCTCCTCAAAGCACATTTATCAGTAATTATTCAAAAACATGTAAGCATGAATACATTTTCTAACCAGACAACATAGAAAGTTGATGAATTTAAAAAAAAAATCTGTTTTTTACCACAGTAGTTTCTTTAACATGAGTCACTGAAGTTCTTCAGTGTGTGACACTAAAAGCAAAATGCCACAAGAGGTCACTGTAACTGAAGCTTCAACAAATGAACCTATTATTGAAACAACTGGTTCAATGCTTCATAAAAGCTTTGCTCATCACTAGCTCGGGGCCCGCAATCAGCTCTCGTTGTAACAGCTTGATAACTTTTAGTTGAAACTGCTGGACAGCTCGCCAAATATATTACAGCGTAGACGATGAAAAGAGATTGGTTTGTTGATGCCGCAACATTTAATTAAAGATCTGCAACGAAAATAGTTCAGTTCAGTGGTACAGTCGCTACACAGCGCTCATATACGTGTTTAATCTTACAAACAGTCATCTTTTTGTCTGATATCATGATATTTCCCTGAGAACTCTGTTTCTCCCTCGGGCTCTTTGTCATTGGTGGACATTAAAACCAGGTGGAAAATTGTATTTAATAAAATTAATAATTTGGTCAGTTAACTAAAATTAAACAAAAGGGGGTACTTTTGAAGTACCAATTAGCAAAGATGTTACAATTATAACTTCTACAAAAGGAATAACAAAATTAAAGTTAAACAATTGAGTTAAGCCTCAAAATTAATGACAAAGATCATGAACTAGAAAGACTTCTGACAGAGAAGCTTCTAAACACTAATAAAAAAGGTCATCAAGACTGAATGAATAACTTGTTAGCCAAAGTCAAACATTTCTAGTCAAGTCCACAGAAACCCAAACAGATGCTAGCTGCCCTGAACAACAGCTGCCCTGAACAACAGCTGCCCTGAACAACAGCTGCCCTGAACAACAGCTGCCCTGAACAACATCTGCCCTGAACAACAGCTGCCCTGAACAACAGCTGCCCTGAACAACAGCTGCCCTGAACAACAGCTGCCCTGAACAACAGCTGCCCTGAAC